ATAAAGCCTCCCTGTTGACACGGTTGGTGGCAGGTCCGGGAAGAGTTAGAAACACCCGGCAGGTTTGGGAGAACACTTGCGTGTACCAGGGCCCGCTCACTTACAGGCCGCGGCATCCACCGGGAGGCGGGATGGAGCCAAGGGCACACCCCGGCCGGGTGCCTGCTGGCTGCCCCGTTCCTGACGGTGGCCTTGCCTTTGAGGAAACTGCAACATCCACGGCCTTCGGGTTTCTCCCGAGCGGAACACAAAGCGATGGCTCCCGGAGCGCGAGCCTCCGCCTGTCCAGCAGATGTGCCCAAACCTCAGGGCCCTTCCACGAGTCTATAGACTGCTGAGAGCCTCCCCTGCTTGTAATAAACTACGGGAGTGGCCCACAAAGAAAGACTCCCACTGTCCAGTAAGAAAGCAAGGCTGTGTGGCGGCTCCAGGGAGGGAGAGGTGGGCGAAGCTCTCAGGTTCATGCACAGAGAAGGGGCTGTGCGTCTTCTAGGCCCCAGCCCCGGCCTGTGTCGCTGATCTTCACCTGCGCGTTGAGGGCCCAGCGAGGCCGACCCTGCGAGAGTGATCCGCACGCTACCGAAGACGCTTGGCCACGGGGATTCTGCGGCATGTTCTTTGGTGTTAGGTAATTTTCACTCCATAAAGGAAGCACGCTTGCTGGTAATGTGTCATCCTTGTGCAGTAACGTCAACAGTTACAACAGGTGCTGTCTTGTGTCCTAAATATTCAGAGAAACTAGTCAAGAAAGTCAAGTCTGGGACATGGAACCGAGGTGAGAATGTCAAAGTAAATCTGAGTGTTACCCTGCACAGTCCATTGGAGCCTTTACAATCTACCCACCCTGATGCCTCCTGACTAGTCCCCGTGGTCCTTCTCAGCCCCTCCCTGGGAAACTGCACTCCACAAAGTGCACTGGCTGGGAATTCACTTGTATGGCACATCACCTATTACTGTAATTACTAATGCATGCCCAGTAGGCACATTTTTATCTATTCAGAAGGCCAAGTTCAGGGATTGTATAGTTAGTTATTGGTAAAGCAATTTGAAATTGCAAGATATCAATAGACATAATATATTACTAGAATTGGAGAGAAATGCATACTTTTCACTTTGAGAAGGTTTTAGTGTANATATATTACTAGAATTGGAGAGAAATGCATACTTTTCACTTTGAGAAGGTTTTAGTGTAGTATTTGTTATAATGTGAGATGTGAAAGGCCTTCAGGCTCAGGCCCACTGAATGTATACTGCCCGTTTATTTGATGATACTCAAAACTGGTCTATAATATTTTTATAAGAATACAAGTTGCTTAGCTTGTTTTCACTGTATCACTAATGGTCGACTTTAGGAAGTGGCTCGAATAATCTAGAGCATAGGATATTCATGCTTTTTTACAAAGTTTTCTGAGATATTGGCCAAAGAATGAGGGGCAGACATCAATTTTTATGATGTGTTTTAATATCTACTACAAAGATATCACATGCAATAAATTGGATCCATAGAAACTGTTAAGAGTGTAAAGTTATTTATCAGTTCATTGCTACTATTCTGGACAGAAAGTACAACTGGTTGACCATTTTATAGGTGATAAATTATTTTCAAACATAATTGCCCAATGAAGACAGAGAAAAATTGTACAAGATGTTAGGACTAGTACTCTAGTTACTACTTGGTGAAAGAGGTGAAGTTTACTTTTAATAAGTATGTTTCACTTTATTTCACATGCTCTATCAAACAGCATCCTCCCTAATAAGTAAATATATATTTCTTATTTCATTAAGTTCAAATTGTGGCAGTGGCCAGAGCCTATTGAGTCATAAATATTTGCAACTTGCATAAATAAATTAGTTCTGACTGCCTACTATTCATTCATTGAATATGTGGAGGTTGTGTTTTCTTTTGTCCCCACCAGAACGGTAAGCTATTGGGTGAAAGTTATTTTGTACTTCTTTGCATTTTAAATATAATGTCATGTGTACAACAATTAATACTATCAGAAGAAAAAACTGGGGACATGTAATCTTCCTGTGAAATGTGTATGTCGCCCAGGCTTTTTCTGCTCTCAGAAGAGCCTTTATGACTTGGGTTGAGTTCCGTCATCATCGCTTTCTTCCCACCCGCTATGGAAGCTGTGCTTGTCTTCATCCATCTGTCTCCACCTGGATGGAACCCCACCAGAGTCACTCTCAGAAGGAGCCAAAAGTTGTCTTTGGTTCATAGCAAGTTGCTCCCTCACAGTGAAAAAGTCCCATGTATATTAAAGATATAGTACACTTTCTGGAGGGAAAAAATGACTTGCGAGGTGTGGAGGCATCTTCAGTCAAAAACCTACAAGCTTGAGAGGGTCGAATGCATGCCTGTGACCACTCTTACTGCTCCAGTGGAACTGATTTCATGAAGTTCCAGAAGACGGGCTCAGTAACTTCTCATCTTTGGTTTCTGTAGAAGATTTATCAGCTTGTCATTTTTATTACAGTACACACTGCCTTATGTCAAGTATGTTAGGTTAATACAAATTCTCCTATCTGCTCATATAGTAATTTTGACTTATCTACAATTGTAAGTATTGTTGGAGGAGTATGCTAGAATAAATCTCCCAAAATGTCCCAGGAGATATTTGATAGCATTATTCTCATTGTGATGAGATTGGATAAAGACGTGGGAAGGACATTTTTATCTCACAGACCCTTTTATGACATGATTTTCAGAATGAACTGGCCCAAGGTTTTGCCTGATCTTTGGTACCCTCTCAGGTATGCTCACTGGTGATGATCACAAGAAAATGGTGTTTCTGAGGAACTTCATGCAGGTGTTATGTCTCCCGCCCAATAGACACAAGAGCAGATTCATCTAATTAGCAGAATCCACCCCCTCAACTTGCTGTCTGTGCTTTGGGCACATTAATAAAGCTGAGACATGAACCAGGACCCCTGAGGGCCTTTCCCCATAAGTCCCTTGTAGAAACTTGTGGTCTCTAAGCAACAGCTCGACTAAGTGAGCCAGCGAGAGTCTTGCTCTGAGTATGACCCCACTAGGAGCTGTGCTCAAATGGTCTCAGCTGGGAGTTGCTCTGGCAAGTTTCACGAAGGGCATTTCAAAAGAAAATGCCCTGTGCTACAGGCATTGAGAGGTGTCTGACTCTGACAGCTGGGATTTCAGCAAAGACTCTCTCATCGTCAGGAACCAGTCATCTGCTCTCCTGCTGTGTCAGCAGAATTCACAGTGCACAGCGTTTGAGCAATTTTCTTTTCATCCCTGAAAGCTTAGGATAATTATTTTTCTCAGCCACATTAACTCTTATGATTAGTATCTTGATGGGGTTTTTATACTCATCTGAGAGATGCAGAGGGTCTAGGTAGTTGTTATAAATTCAAATTTATCAAGATGGGTACCAGAACCATTGAATTCTGTAGTAATTTTCTGAATTGAATTGTCGATCTGATTCAAACTATGGATAGAGATGAAAAAAGATCTTATCACCAATCAGCCAAACAGGTACCCTTTCAACAGATTAACTTTGATGGTTTAAAATATTTTGCTATTACTGGGAAAAAAAATCAGGTTTTCATCTTGCATGGCCTGGGCTCACTGCTGTTTCAATCCCTCTTGGGGGATTTGTGAGCTGACCACCTGAAGCACATGGCATCAGATAATCAGGCAGAATCATTTTTATTTTCACTCGACTGAACTCCAAAATTGAGGGCAAAACTATGTTGACCTGAATTAGCTAGACTTCCTCAGTTGACGTGGAAATTTCCACTTCCCTTTGAACTTTGCAAATTTGTCATTAGTGTGAAGGATGAAAAAAAAAAATGTATTTAATCCATTTTCTTATAGTCCCAGCCAACCCATGCCCAGTAAGAGGAAAGAAAGGCCCAGCAAGTCCTGGTTTCACAGTAAATGGCAAATCCTCAATGGCTGTCTGAGAACAGCATGCGTGAGATTTTAAATGACATCTACAGTCCTGTGCCTGCTGTTCTCCTGACTGCAAAACAGCTCAGTTCCTTTTAAGGGTATTTTTATCTCTTTCTTAAACAGTGTCTCACTTAGAGTCCTTTTTCTTGAGATTAAAGGGAAGCCGGCTGGTGATCACACCCAATCTTTCCCATGTAGCTCAGCAGGATAGTCAGAGGGATACGGAACATTGTCATCAACAAGGGAGCGCTGGCCAGAAGGACAGGGTGGTGACATGACATGGAGGACAGCTCGCCGGTTCTCTTGCTTCCAAAGCATTTCCCCTTCCCCCATTCTCACACTTGTCAGGAGCAGACTTGACTATATGAATACTTTTGCTAATGAGAAGTTTTTTTTTTTTTTTTTTTTTTATAGCACTGTTTTAAAAATAGCTATTCAACATAACAATCTTCATTTTAATGCACCAAATGACAGTTTTCTACCACTTAAGTGAGTGTGGCCAGTCACTCTCAGCACACATTTGATGACACTTGTTAGATATAGATGGATGTAGCAAAATCCATATCTCTATTTGTCTACAGATATACACACACACACAAGTAGAGCTACAAGGCCCTCCTTAATAGTGTGTTCTAAATTTTGTGTTCCCTTAATTGTCACTGGGCTTATTCATATGTCGAGTTAGGGTGCCATTTGTGGAACTTACTGGATTTGTCCCTGTCGAAACCTTCCAAGTCACACAGCTGGTGGTGGATCACCTTTATGTCTAAGGACTGGCCCTATCATCAGACGAGAGGACCAATCCATGAAGACACCAACCAGACAAAACCCCGTGTGGGCAACGCTCATGGTGCCCAGGCTGCTGCTGCTGCTAGACCCAAAGAATTGTATGTAAAGGACTGTTCATACGATTTGGATTCTATTTTTGTAAAACATAGATATTTCCCCCCCAAGAAATTCAATAAATAAAGGACTTAGCCACGGAATCAAGGAAGCAGAACTCCAGTTTTGAACCTTCCGCTGGGATTGGGGCTAGACCTGACCCATGTCAACTTCTACTGCAGTTGGTCTTCCAGGAGGCAGAGGGTGCGATGACCCCACAAGCAGTTCTGGGGCGGACTGTCTCTGGTCAGCAGGGGCTCTCTGTGTGTCATTGAATGAGGCTGGAGCTGTAGCTGAATCCATAGCTGCTGGACCGGGACAGGGACTGCTGAGTCTCTTCGCTCTGCTCCGAGGCGTAGCTGGGGAAGGTCTGTGCACGTGACATCTTCGAGGAACCAAACCCGTGACCTAGGCAGCGAGAAAGGGAGGAAAGCTAGGCTAAGAAACAGATTCAGCAAAACACAAAATATATGGAAAAAACAAAACAAACAAACCAGAGCCCTCACAGCCTCCGTATTGAGGAAGGAAGGTAAAAATGGAGATACTTGGTGCCTTGTTCCTTGATGAGCTAAAAATGTGACGCGGGGCTCAATACTGTCCACTTGCCAACAATTCTGGGTGCTAGGAGCTAGGTAAATTTTCTAAGGATCTCAAACTTCTACTGTCCTTCAACTTTTGAAACAAGAGCAGACAAGGTTTTCCAAAAACAAAGTTGTTTTGGATGGAGAACCTGTTAGCCGCTTTCTTTTCTTTTGTGATCACTTCCAGCCTACGAAAGCAAATGACACGCTTCCTTACAGCCTTTCTGAGCAGGAAAACTACACTTGATCCTAAGTAGGAACCATCAGTTATCAGGAAAAAGCTTTCACGGTGAGAGCGTCTGAGGCCCTGGCTCATCCTCGCGGGTTTGTGGGTAACTGAACCCATTTCATGATACAGTTAACCCAAATGATAGACCTTTATGGTTGCTGAGCTAGGTCCCTGAAAGTGAAATCATACGGGAGATATATTTTCAGGCAATTCTATCTATGCCTTTTGTCGTTCAGATGCGCTCCTGCGATGAGAAATTGGTCTCACACAAAAACAGAGGTGGTCACTGAAAAGCTCGTAGGAATGTTCCATGTGTAGGAAGAAAGTCTGTCCTCCAGGNTTTGTGTCTCACACAAAAACAGAGGTGGTCACTGAAAAGCTCGTAGGAATGTTCCATGTGTAGGAAGAAAGTCTGTCCTCCAGGGCTTCGGATCAACTTCCTCCCCATCCTGCGTGTTAACCAGCGATGAACAGTTCCTCCTAGTTGATGATGATGATGATGATCTAACGGATGCGCAAGTGGGAGAGGAGACAGACAGGCCCGAGTGCTCTGCCCTTCACGGTGCGTTTTCCACCCAGAGGAGGACAGAGCTTGAGCTCGGTGTGGTTGTTTCTGGTCTCGTGGTGAGGCCTCCAGGGAACACCATCTGTTAACAGAAACCTGGAACATCTGGCCCGGTTCTCGGGTGGCGCTGTCCTTCGCAAGGTCGTGCACCTAGAGCCGATTCATCGTCAGGTGTGTTTCCCTTGCAGGGTCTGAAGCTTGGGAACCAGGGAGGAAATGCAAATGAAGTGGGTAACCAAAAGGTAATTAACCTGGTAGAACCTCTTAATGGGAAATATTGGGAGAGCAAAATCTTGCTTTCTAGATAGAAATCATGTTAGACCCACCGTTGGCCTGATTCTCTGGTTGAGACTGAACAGGAGCAGGCCAGGGGGACGGGAGACAAGGGCAGTTCCTCCTCGCGCCTCCGCCCGCTTCATCTTACCACGGACCCTAGACGATAACTCACGGTTCCTCTGAGCGGCGATGTTGGCATTTATGAGCATAATCCAGGAGGAAATTCTCATATTAAGACTATGTTTCTGCCCTGGGTGGGGTGGCTCGGTTGGTTGGGCATCGGCCTGTGCACCAAAAGGCTGCTGGTTACACGCCCGGCCGGGCACAGCCCGGGGGGCGCTCAGTCCCCAGTGGGGGGCGCGCGGGAGGCAGCCCATCGGTGCCGCCCTCGCACACCGACGCTTCCCCCTCCCTTCCTCGCTCTCTAAAAATAAAAAAAAAAGTAAAATAAAAAAGACTGTTCCTGGCCTTGGTTTTGTCCTGTTTTTGTGGTTTTTTTTGGTGTGAACTATCTGAAGGGGAGCCGTGCCGGGGCGCGCCTTCACCGTGTGCTACTTGCGGGCTAAAGGCTGAGGCTTGGTTAGCGTGACCAAGTGCGCACGCGTGTCCGCGCCCGAGCGTCGCTGCGTCTGCGCTCACACGGCTTCAGTCGTAAACTCCGCGCTGCCCGGTCAGGGGCGCTCAGCGCGGACAAGTAGCCCCACACGGGCGAGTCCTGGCCGCGAGCGCCGGTCAGCAAGGCGCTGCGCTGCGGCCGCGGGTCTCGTCTGTGCGGCGTTTTCACCCTGGAGTCGGGTGCAGAAGGTCAGTCACGCAGCTGGTATCTGCCGAGCGCCTGCTGAGACAGCTCAGGACGCCGCGGCGGCGACGTCACGGGCAGAATGTTACCTGACGTTACGGGGTCGCGGCTGCGTGGGGACGGTCATCAGGGAGGACAGACACCACTGAACTGAGCTGGG